CTTTAATCTGTTCAATAAATTAGCTGATAAATTCATTTAATCGGCTCGTAAACAGTTCTCTTTAATCTCAGAGGGTTTGGACATCTGCGGCAAAAGTTTCTCTGACAACTGAAGACATGAAAGCGGGATTATTTCTAATCTGACGGCGATGGAAACAGCGGGGAGGGGGGGCGTCAAATCTTAAGAAACACCGTCAAAAACACATCTGTGTGTGTGTGTGTGTGTGTGTGTGTGTGTGTGTGTGTGTGTGTGTGTGTGTGTGTGTGTGTGGTTACTAAGATTAGTCAGAGATGAACCTTTCACACCTGCCGGACTGTGACCCCCAGGTGCAGGTGCAGGACGGAGCTCCGCACACTTTGCGGCTTTGCGCAGTGAAGACACGAGCAGAGCTGGAGCTAACGGGAGAGAGCGAGAGAGGGGGAGAGAGAGAGAGAGAGAGAGAGAGAGAAGGAGGCAGAGAGGGAGAGGGACGGGGAGAGAGAGAGAGAGAGAGACTTGGTAACGCGTCACAGCGGGACGGAGAATCGAACCTAAAGGCGCTCAGCCAGCGACGGACGCGGACGCGGAAGGTAGGACCCTCTGAGAAAGACTGTGATGATGATGATGATGATGAAGATGATGATGATGATGAAGATGATTGATTAATGATAGACATGAGGCGGTGTTAGCGGACAGACTGCAGCACACAGAGAGCATTTGTCATGGAGGGAAACACGTTTTAAGGAAACATCTCTGACCGCGACACTCGTGCGTAATTCCGCACTTTTACGCACTCCGATGATGGCTCCGTGACTTTGGCGCGTGTTCACGTGGAGTCTGTGGGGTCAGAGGGACAGGAGACAGTAAAGCAGAAGTTGATTGATGGTTTTAATGAGGTACCGAGTCCAGTTCATTACAGACCGGCTCTCTCTCTCTCTCTCTCTCTCTCTCTCTCTCTCTCTCTCTCTCTCTCTCTCTCTCTCTCTCTCTCTCTCTCTCTCTCTCTGTTTTGTTATCGGAGTAATTAATCAGTCATAATGTCAGTGTGGGTGGGTGGGTGTGGGTGTGCACGCTCTCGCGGAGGTGTCAGGTGTTCAGTGTTATCTCAGGTAGCCCTGGAGACTCCAGAGGTGCCTGCTGGGAAGCGCTCGTGCCCTCTCATTTATTCATGTGTCACCTGAACGCGGGTTAAAGTGGGGGGGGACTCCGTCTAACCTCCCCTGTGTTGATCCTGCCGGTTCTGTTTTATCCAAACATGTTTCTGCTCCACCTCGAGAGTAAACAGACGGAGTCCACTTGTTCAATATTTGATGGAGTTCGGTCCAGTTTTTCACAGACAGCTGATGCAACAGAAACTTTTCAGAGAGATGAAATGCAGATCCTGTCCGCTCCTGTCCAGAGTGTCCGGACTTCCTCACAGAGAGGACAGACGAGTCAATATCAGACTAAATATCAGACTCTAAAAATAAAGACGAAGATGTTTTTTATTTACCTTCATATCAGTTTGGATCATGTCGACCTGAATATGTCCTGATATGATAAACCTGAAACACAGTCGACTGTCTTTATTGTCATAGAATAAAACTCAGCAGTTATTTCTCTCTGATGATGGTGTTTTAATTTAATATAAACAATAAAAACTAAAAAATCAGGGTAAAATAGCAGCAGGGTGAGTGATAGTGCACTTTCTGTAGGTAGTGGAATAAAAACCAAATAAATAAAAGTATAAATGTTCTTATTTACGCCTGATAAAGAGTAAAAACAGGAGCAGAGTGCAGCAGGATGGGAGTGGGGCGTTATATGGAGGGTCAGTTATCAGTCTGAAACTGTGAATCTGACTGTTCTGCAGCGGATCCTCCAGAACCTTCATCCAGACTCAGAACACACATTAGTCCACCGTGGTTCGAGGTTTTACATTCTCAGAGGATTTCATCCTTTTTTTAAATATAAGGTTAAAAAACTACGATAACGACAAAACTCCTGCAGAGATCCTGATTTACTGCGTCTGAAAGAGAAAATCTGTTTAAACTTTCAGAGAATTTGGAGAAAATTTCTGTACAAAATTATTTACTCATTTAATAAATCTCATTTGGACTGAAATCAGGTGTTCATGCACAAAGCGTCATGTCAAAGTGTGATTGGTTGAAATTCAGAAGGTCAGTGTGTGGAGATTTTCTTTACAAAAGGTTCTTTAAATATGAAAATAGAATAAAATTCAACTTTATTGTCATTGCACACGTCACAAGTACAAAACAATGAAACACAGTTTACGTCCATCCAGAAGTGCTGAGGAAGTATAAATATATTTACAAATGTTCAGGATATGAAGCAGAAATATACATGAGTGTGTCACAGGTAAATGACATTATTATTAATATGTTATAACTACAAGTATGTTCAGTCTTTGAACAGATTATACATGTGGTTATAAATATGAAGGTTATAAACAGACTATAAATATGATTATATGACGGATAAATGAAGCAGGAGTGAGAATGAGGTTTGAAAGGTTTGAAGTTGGTTACAGAGATAGAGAGCAGGTGTGTGTGTGTGTGTGTGTGTGTGTGTGTGTGTGTGTGTTCAGTCCATGAGTGTTAACGGTCATGAACGTTAGGTTATTAAAAACGTTTTAATTTGAGATCAGGACGGATATTCAGAGACGGTTTATTGTCATGACTGTTAAAGATTATCTCTGATTTCTCTCGATTACATTTTGAATAATCATGAACCCCTGAAACCGCCTCTTTTTATCCGTTAAACTATCTTCTCTGCTGCAGCAGCCGGGTCATGTGGTTACACTCAGAGAGTCAGGGTTCAGGGTCAAACCCGGGGCCGTTTCCTGACAGCTTTTGTCTCCTACACCAGCTCAGACTCGATCCTTTCTCTGCATTTTTTGGAGCCGCCTCCGCCCCGTCACTCTGCATGAGAGTCAGAGTTTGTGAGTCCTTCTGTCTGAAACACGCAGCGTGATGGGAACCCTCAGCTCTGCGGCTCCGGGGTCGTCCTCTCGGCGGTTCAACAGTTCAGATCTGGCCCCGCTGTGAATCCAAACATGCCTGACAGCCGCTGAAATGATCGTTCCCCCACCTCTGAGGAGGCTCAGGTAGTTTCTTTAATATATGGGAAAAGCTGCGTCTGTTTTCTGCGTCACGGAGGGAAAGGTTTCCTCTGAATTTAAACAGAAGCAGGGAGGAGAAGCGTGGAGCTGCAGAGTCTGTATCTGACCGACAGTTTGACTGACAGCCTCAAATGAAACCAATATGAGGGAGAGAGGACTGAATTGCAGATACAGTGACTCTGATGCTCTCTGAGAGCGAGGACGAGAGGATGGAGGGATATTATAAAAGAACTGCAAACTGGAGGAAGAGGACAGAGAGGCACATCGTGTTTTTTTCACACAGTGCAGATATTATTTTAGATTTTCTCTGAGTTTGTGCAGCAGGTGAAATCTGAGCGAACGGCTCAGGAGTGACCACCACATGCTGAAGTGGTGCTCTTGAAAACCGACTTTATTCTGCGTATTTGCAGACGTACGGCCCGTTCTGAAGCACAAAAGCTTTAGTTTGACTTTCTGCTGCTGGCAGGTATCAGATCGTTTGTTCAGTGAGACACACTTCACATCATCACAGTAACCTTCACTGTTTTCATCAAAAACAAAAGAACTCAAACTAAACAGCAGAGATTATTATCCGACATTTATAGATCGACATCTCTTCATTCAAGTAGATATTCATAAATCGTTCTGTTCCACTTTTATCCGTCCATAATGGAGCCTGATGATCCTCAGACCATCAGGGATGCTGGGAACAAGCCTGGTGGACCCTCTACTCTCTGTAAAACTGGACTTACGTTTCGCCTCTGTGTGTCGCCGTCCGTTGGCGGAAACAACACAGCAGCGAGCAGCACGCCGCTAAACGAGCGCATGTCGTTGTTCTTTTATGGCGGAAAAGTGGCGAGATGAAAACTAAATAAAGATGTCAGCTGTAGCAGGATTCAGATACTTTTAAAGATATCAAATATCGTATTTCTTTAAATCGTCTGAAATTAAATCAGGAAAGTTTAAACACGTGTTTTAATGTAAAGGCGCCATAATGACCTGTTTTATCTTAGTCAACCAACCGCTGCTCAGCAGGAAGTGAACGACGATACACCCCTCCCTCCTCTGCCTGAATGAAGTCGTTTGAAAGTCGTTTGTTTCGTTCACAGTCTGACTGATTCATGTCGTTCATTCATTGTGAGTGAATCACGACACTTCGCCCGCTCGCTCGCTCGCTCATTGGCTGGCTGTCGTTCGCCAAAGAGTCAAAGGCGGCAGTTCCACTCCCGACCGGCACGTCAGGCTCACGGCTGAACTGAGAAAGGAACGAATCAGGTCTGAGAGTGATTCAGTTCTTTTGAACGAATCGTTCATGAACGACCCAAACACGAGTACATATAGGGTCACAGCCATAGTACTAGACACCAAACATCTTTTTAACTTTGACTCATTTCTTTAGCAAAGAGACTAAACACAACTCACCTACTCTCTTCCAGCAGACGCTTGTTTGTAGAGAGACCTCAGGCCAGTCCATTACAGACTACAGCGGGGTGACGCAGCTCAAGGAAGAACATTTATGATCATTTCTTCATCATTTCCTTGAAGTAATAATCATCATATTAATCATTTTACAGACGTGGTAGTTCTTCTGTCTCAGCGTCTCGGTCTGATTGTATTTCCATGAAGAAATGATCATAAATGTTCTTCCTTGAGCTGCGGCACCCCGCTGTAGTCCGTAATGGACTGGCCTGAGGTCTCGCTACAAACAAACGCTATCCTGCGGTCGTTACTAAAGTTGGTATAACTAGAGAAGTAAGCGGTCGACAACATTCATGAACTAAAAACTGTTTCCTTGTTGAATTTTTACTCTGGTAAGAATTCATGGATCCTTCCTTCCATCCTCATGTCTCTCTAACATGTTCGTAGCGTCACACAACATTCCTGGTATTGCTGTTATGATTGTACCCTCCATTTTTCCACTCCTCCTCCTCCTCCTCCTCCTCCTCCTCCTCCTCTTCGTGCTCCGGCTCTGTGTGGTCATTAAATCAGCTGAGGCAGCCGGGCAGAACTGAAGGAAACAGGTTGGAGAGGAGGAGGAGGAGGAGGAGGAGGAGGAGGGGAGTTGATTCTGCTTGTTGTAGGTACAGGTGAGGAAGCATCAGTGTGTGTGTGTGTGTGTGTGCGCGCACACAGCTGTCCTGCTGTTCTACAGTCCAAGCCTCTGTAAACACAGATATGAAACAGACGGTGACGACTGTCCGACTCTCTTTCTCTTTTTCTGTTTGTTGTCTGATTGAGATCGTGCTCCGCTGATTCACTGAGCTTCGGTTGTTTGTAGAAAATAATCTCAGCCTGTAAAGCTGATTGTATTTTTCTCTGTAAACAGATTTCTGCTCACATTTACAGCTTTAGATCCGTCTCTAAAATACAAACTCATCCCAGGATCTGCAGAACAAAGTCCTGGACTGTTGGTCCTTTATCATTATCTCTGTTTTTACTGTTTCCTGTTTTATTTTGAAATGTTTCCTCCTCGTTCGTCCCACCCAGTAGTCAAGTTGTGAAAAAAAAAAAATCAGGGGGGATGGAGGATTTTATTGTTTGGGACAGATATTCTGTTCTGATGACAGTGAACATGGTGGGACACCAACTGTGTACCTATTTGATTGTTACTGAAGCACAAAGATAATTATTATTATTTATAACATAAACCCTCAGATCGAGCTCTTCATGTCGTTTGGCCACGACATGGAAATCAGTGTCACCAGTGCTGCTTCGCCACCTGCTGACGTCATTTATTTAAAAAAAAAAGGTGTTGTTGTTGTTGTCGTCGTTTTCTTCCGCCTCATCCTGTTCCGGGTCGCAGGGGCAGCAGTTTCAGGAGGGAACCCCAGATGGCCCTCACCCCGGCCACCTCCACCAGCTCCTCCGGGGGGATTCCCAGGCACTCCCAGGCCAGACGAGAGATATAATCCCTCCACCTGGTCCTGGGTCGACCACGAGGTCTCCTCCCGGTGGGACATGTCTGGAACTCCTCTAACGGGAGGCGTCCAGAAGGCGTCCTAACACCTCAGCTGACTCCTCTGGACGTGGAGGAGCAGCGGTTCTCCTCTGAGCGCCTCCCGAGTGTCCGAGCTCCTTACCCTATCTCTAAGGCTGAGCCCGGACACCCTGAGGAGGAAACCCATTTCAGCCGCTTGTATCTGCGATCTTGTTCTTTCGGTCATTACCCAAAGTTCATGACCATAGGTGAGGATCGGCACGTAGATCGACCGGTAAATCCAGAGTCTCTCCTTACGGCTCAGCTCTTTCTTCACCACCACTGATCGTCCGGTCTACCTCCGTTTTAAGCACCCGTTATTCCTCCAGAGTCTCCGGTATTTACTTTGTTTTCTTGCTTGTGTCGGCAGTCGTGGCCAAAGGAGGATTCAGACAATTTTCCGAACTTTCTGGTTGGTTTCTACTGTCCGATATTGTAGCACGCTAACTTTGTTTGGGCTCCTGAACGACACGGGGGAGCAGCATTTTCTTGCTGACTGTTTTCTTGTTGACCAGTTTGGTGTTGACTGTTTATGTTTGACTGTTTTTTGCTGACTGTTTTCTTGTTGACTGTTTTTTGCTGACTGTTTTCTTGTTGACTGTTTTTTGTTGACTGTTTTTGTGTTGACTGTTTTCTTGTTGACTGTTCTTTGTTGACTGTTTTGATGTTGACCGTTTTCCTGTTGACCGGTTTGGTGTTGACTGTTTTCTTGTTGACTGTTTTTTTTTTGCTGACTGTTTTCTTGCTGACTGTTTTTTGCTGACTGTTTTCTTGTTGACTGTTTTTTGCTGACTGTTTTCTTGTTGACTGTTTTCTTGTTGACTGTTTTCTTGTTGACTGTTTTCTTGCTGACTGTTTTCTTGTTGACTGTTTATGGTTGACTGTTTTCTTGCTGACGGTTTTCTTGCTGACTGTTTTCTTGTTGACTGTTTATGTTTGAGTGTTTTCTCGCTTGTGTCGGCAGTCGTGGCCAAAGGAGGATTCAGACAATTTTCCGAACTTTCTGGTTGGTTTCTACTGTCCGATATTGTAGCACGCTAACTTTGTTTGGGCTCCTGAACGACACGGGGGAGCAGCGTCTGCCTCACAACCAATCAGGTTAGAGGAGGTGGAGAACGGCTTTGTTTACAGTCAGAAAGAGCGGACCGCTCAAAAATGTTCAAATGTTGACGACACAGACAGAAGAGAACACAGAGATATCGATATATTACCAAATAATCAATAACTAATAACTATTGACTGATATTAAAATGCTTCTTTAACAGATTCCTTTCACTTTACTGTCTTTTATTCTCTTAAACCCTGTCTAATTGGTATCAGCGTCGACCCCGATAAACCGCGTCAGTAGACCCCGGATGTACGCGGGAAGGAAGAGGCGTTTCCAGCTGGGAGCGTTGACGACATGGAGACACTTTGTTCCTGAAAATAAACCCTGAAAAAGGAAAAACACAGACAGCAGCGATATCCCAGCAGCTTTGTTGGGTGACAAATCCTGGTTGTTGGTATTTACGGCTGGAAGTCTGCCCTGAAGAGAGGCTGAGAGTGAGCACAGAGAGAGAGAGAGAGAGAGAGAGAGAGAGAGAGAGAGAGAGAGAGAGAGACAATGAGTGTGTAGTGAGAGCAGCTGAAGGAGCAGAGAGGTGAAGTGTTTTTGATTCAAAGGTCGTCTTCACTCAGAGGAAACACTAAACGGTCTGTTTTGATCTCTGCACCCCCGTAGATTTCAGCAGTGTGACTGCGCTCTAACAAAGACAGAGACAAAGAGAGAGACAAATGAGTCTCTGCAGACCATCAGACGCCCTCTGACTCTGTCTCAGAGTGTGTTTGGATATACACTCAGGAGCTAATCTCAGAGGAGAGAGAGAGAGGAAAACGGGGAAATAAGGCTGAAACCAAATCTGTGAATAAGACCCGACAGGAGGAGCTGCAGTATTAAAGGGACAGTTCAACATTTTTGAAGTACGGTCACACAGCAGGAGTTTGTCAGGTCGTTTACAGTCTCAGTTTAATCGACTAAACTCATAACTCGTCTTTTTCTCTGAATCAGACTTCTCTCCTCGTCCTCGTTTACATGCAGCTGAGAAAACTGAATTATTGACGTGAACGTGTCCTCCTCCCCAACACTAGGGGGCGATATGGGTCTTTTCAACAACAACAGCAGGTCGGTGTCAGACGTCAGAAGTGTCTACAACTGCTGCTGGGCATTTTGGAGAAACAAGAAGATGGAGCATCGTACAGCGTTGTTTTTGTCCGACATGATGGACGCGCTACTTTTTCTAAAGAGGAGACCAACGCTACTCCTCTACTCTGGGGGTTTGTTACGGGGTTACGGGGGCGTGGCGTCATACTCCGACTACGCTGGTTACATGGTAGAGAAAATCGAATTCCAATCGTATTATCGGAGTTCTCAAACTCTGATTATAGTCAGACTAAGGTGTTTACATGACCTTCAGTTGTCCGGTCTTCATCAGAATAAGGCGATAATTAGGTTGTCTTGGGTGTCATGGAAACGGACTGACTGTTTTAGCCTCAGTGGGCGTCGGTCAGCCTCTTTCATAAAAAATGAGTACATGAGCTCGGCTCCAGTTCTCTGCAGGTCTGGCTGAGTCTTCCACGCTGATCTTGAGGGACTCTGATCCAAAGACTCGTTCCGGTTTGGGTTTTCGCTCCACGCCTCTTTGTTCGTGTTCAGCCGCCTCCTTTCTGTGCGTCTATATCTGTGACTCAGGCCTTCGTCAGTCTGATCCAGAGGGGACTGAAATCCTCGTTACACCAGGCTCTCCTATGTCTGTGTTTGCAGACAGTCCCTGGTGGACACTGTTGGAACTGCAGGTTCTGGTTCTCTGTGTGTCATAAAGCGCAGTGATGACTCTGAATTAGTCCCCAAACTTTGTGTTGTAGTTGAGAGGACAGTCGGGGACAGGGGTGGGTTTATCGATCCGTGTGTGTGAGAGGACAAACAGGAGGAGTGTGTCATTATGTTTTCACTCCTCACAAACACTAAAAGCAGGAAAATCGGAGCGCTCACATTTTTCTGTCAGTGTGAACTCAGGCAGAGAGACGCCGACAGCTGCAGAAACACTCGCCGCCTTCACCGCCGTCTTCTCCTGATCTCACGAGTGAATTAGCTCTGCTGCTCGCTCCTTTCAGTCGATGTTGAGGTGATTGTTTTAGTGGATGAATGAATGAATGAATGAATGAATGCAGCTGCAGCGATCAGAGGCAGGCTCACCTCCGTTTATGACAGCATTAATTTAGACTCCAACCTAAAACTACATTCTACAGCCATTAAAACTAACCAGTCAGAGCCCAGCACTGCTAGCCAATCAGAGGCGAAGGAGGCGGGACCTTCCCCTACCATGGGCTGAGGCGGTCCCTAAGGTCTCTGCACTCGTGTCGGTGTGTGAACTCGAGCTCGTCATCCTGTCGTTTGTTGAGAAAGTGGAACGCCAGCTCTGATGTTTGACTGACAGCTGTGGAGGGCGGAGTCAGCATCCTTCCGCCGCTCTGGTCATCATTTCTCCTCAGGAACACTCGAGGCTCTCAGACCTGTGTGCTGTGCGTTTCTCTGTCATGTGAGTGAGGCGTGCTGAGTCAGACGGCGAGGAGGAGGAGGAGGAGGAGGAGTCACATCATGATGAAGATGAGGAGGTTACTCAGCAGAGTGTCTGTTAATCTGTGGTCACTGTAATAATGACTGATGAGGAGGAGGAGGAGGAGGAGGAGGAGGGCTGCAGGCTCCGCCCCCTCTCCTGGCTCTGTTAGGGGGCTCCTGTGAGGCTCCGCCCCCTCTCCTGGCTCTGTTAGGGGGCTCCTGTGAGGCTCCGCCCCCTCTCCTGGCTCTGTTAGGGGGCTCCTGTGAGGCTCCGCCCCCTCTCCTGGCTCTGTTAGGGGGCTCCTGTGAGGCTCCGCCCCTCTCCTGACTCTGTTAGGGGGCTCCTGTGAGGCTCCTCCCCCTCTCCTGGCTCTGTTAGGGGGCTCCTGTGAGGCTCCGCCCCCTCTTCTGGCTCTGTTAGGGGGCTCCTGTGAGGCTCCGCCCCCTCTCCTGGCTCTGTTAGGGGGCTCCTGTGAGGCTCCGCCC